CCGACGGAGGGGATTCTCGGACAGGATGTCTCGCAGCTTCCGCGCCATCCAGGCCGTCGAGATGGTCACCCTGCAGGCCATAAGCGAGGGGCGTCGGACGTTCACTCGTGGCCACGTCCGACTCGAGCAGGATACTCTTCCGGCTGGACGGAGTGCTGCAGGAGGTGGCGGAAATCCCCATCGGCTGCACGATTCGATGATAGCGCGGATCAAGGTCCTCGCCGACATGGACATTACGGAGACTCGCCGCCCCCAGGACGGTAGCTTCAATCTCCAGTTCAACGAGAAGACGGTTGACTTCCGCGTCTCTTCCATCGGCATCACGTGGGGCAGAGATGATGGTCGTACGCATCCTCGACCGCTCCGATGGTATCCTCAAGATGGAACAGTTGGGCCTCGAGCCCGACACCATGGCTACGTGGAGGCAGCTACTCGGCCTTCCGTTCGGGATGCTCTTGGTATCGGGGCCGACTGGCTCCGGCAAGACAACAACCCTGTACTCATCCGTCACGGACCTGATTGACAACCGCGGAAACATTCTCACCATCGAAGACCCCATCGAATATCGAGTAGAGGACCTGCACCAGATCGAGGTCAACCGGCAGGCCGGGATCGACTTCCCGACCGGGCTGAAGGCGATCATGCGACTCGACCCCGACGTCATCCTCGTGGGCGAGATACGCGACGTGGAGACCGCAAAGACGGCCGTGACGCCGCGCTGACCGGACAACTCGTGCTGGCGTCGATCCACAGCAATGACGCCGCCTCGGCATTCGTGCGCCTGATCGATATCGGCATCGAGCCGTACTGGCGGCAACGCCGTGGTGGGCGTAGCGGCGCAGCGTCTCGTGCGGAAGGTATGCACGCACTGCAAGGTCCAGAAGGAGGTCGAGCCGGCCGAGCGCCAGGCGTACTTCGTTGAGACGGCGAGGAAGAGACGACCTTCGCCAGTGGGAGGGGTGCAACTTCTGCGGGTTCACCGGCTTCCTCGGCAGGACCGGGGTCTTCGAGGTCTTGCCGGTAAGCGAGGCGACGCGAAAGCTCGTCGCATCGGGATCCAGTGGACACGAGATTCGCCAGCAAGCTATGTCCGAGGGAGTCTCGCCGCTCCGCCGCACCGGCATGACCAAGGTCAAGGCGGGCGTCACGACCGTCAACGAGGTGCTCAGCCGGGTGTTCTTCTTTGAGTAACTCCCCCGCGCCGCTTCCAACACTCAATACGCAGCACGTAGCGCGAATCCCATGTCGATCAAGTATGAGGCATATACCAGACTGGGCGAGAAGGTCGTCGGCGTCCTCCACACGACTCCGAGGAGGCCGCCTATGACATTCTGAGCAGGAAGACCTCATTCCCTACCGCCTCCGTCCCGCGCGTAGCGGATTCAGCCTGCCGCGCATGTTCCGACGATATTCAACCCGTCGTCACAAGACATCATCGACTTTACGCGCCAGCTCTCGGCACTCCTGAGCTCCGGCATCCCCCTGATGCGCTGTCTCATGGCGCAGCGCGACCAAGTGTCAACACGGGGCTCCGGTACGCTCTCGCGAAATCATCAGCGCCGTCGATGCGGGCAAGAAGCTTTCCGACGCTCTCGCCGAGCAGTCGCATATTCCCGGACTTCTACGTGCGAATGCTCAGAGTAGGAGAGGCTACGGGCGGGCTCCCGTTCGTGCTCAATCAAGTTGCCGATACTCTCCAGAGGCGGAAGGCCGTTACCGACCGTGTGCGTGACGCTGCCGTGTACCCCGCGTTCACCCTTCGTCGCGCTCGTGGCCGCGGCGCTGTTGGTGACATACTCGCTCCCCTCGCTTTCGAGCCTGCTGTCCGAGGTCAGCGGCGACCTCCCGACCTCCACCCGCGTGCTCATCACTGTATCGGACTTCTTCGGCGAATATGGCACCCCGATCTTAGTCGGGCTGGCCGTCTTCGCCTTGCTGCTGCTTGTGGCGCTGCGACGAGATAGGCCGGGCCGCCACGGATACGGTGCTACTTCGCGTTCCTGTCATCGGCAAGGTCATCGTAGCCAACAACATGTTCTCGCTCACGTCCATAATGTCGACGCTGCTCAGAGCGGGTATGTCCCCGGTCGAGGCTCTCAAGCTGACGCAGAGGGCATGGCGAACGCCTATTACCGCAGGAGGCTTGGGAGGGTCATCGACCGCGCCACGGAAGGGACCAAGCTCGGCGAGGCCGTCGGAGAAGACGGCGGATTTCCGTCCATCGTCTCGCAAGCGATCATTACGGGCGAGACACGGGGCAGACTGGCCGATACGATGTCCGGTCTGACCGAGTATTATGAGGAAGTGACCAAGCGCGCCGCCGGAGGAATTACCGAGCTGATCCAGCCGCGATCATCCTGTTCGTGGCCGGCATGGTAGGCTTCGTCGCCGTGGCAATCATCTCCGGAATCTATTCGGCCCTGGGGGCCGTTCGATGAGAGACGATCCCCAGACTCTCTCGCAGTCGGCTGGAGACCCGACCCTGCAGGAGTTCGGATGGCGGAACACGCCAAGGATCAATTTTGCCCCGGAGCGACGGATCTTTCCGTTCTCCCCTGTGATCGCGCTTCTTGTTGTGATCCTCCTTGTCGAGGTCTTGGTCGCCCTGACGTTCTACGGCAGGCTTCAGGACGCGCGGGCCGAGGCGCTAACGGCCAACGACCGGCTCGTGTCGGTTGAGCGGGCACTTCAGCAGGAGCGGGCCGCGACGGCCGACGTAGCCGCTAAGATCGAAGACATTGAAGAAGAGATCAAGCAGACTGAGCAACAGAGCGCCGGCGCCATCGAAATCTACAACCGGCTCACTCAGAGGCGTCCCGAGTGGGCCGCCGCTCTTCAAGCGCTATTGCAGGCAGACAATACCGACTTTCGGATATACAGCCTAGCGGCGAACTCGCCAGCCATGGTCGGTTCGCCCGCCCAAATCAACCTGTCCGCCACCGCCTCCGGTGCCCACACAGTCGGCATTTTCCTCGACTACATGGAGACCGTCGACGACTTTCTTGAACTTGCCAGTTGGAATACGTCACTAACCTCTGAAGACAGAACCGTGTTAGAGGCCGTGGTGAGTCTCAAGTGAAACCCACTGAGTAGTACACGTCCCAAGAAATGCTCTACCGCATAAAGCCATACCTACACGCGGAGCACCGCCCTCGCCGCACTCGTCTTGGCGGGGCTGGTTGGCATAGCGTACCTCTACGTGTCCGCGTCCGGCTCGCATGACGAGGCGGACGAACTTGACAGCGCAGCGCGTGGCCACGCTGGCCGAGCGGGAAACACAGAAGTCTCGACCGCGCGCCGAAACGCGCGACCTAACGAAAAAGCGACAGGAGTTGGACGAGAAGAAGGACCAGCTTGAGGCCGATCGCCAGCTAGCGTCGATCGCCTCACTTACGACATCCCGGGACGCCAAGGGTCTTGGCAATCGAGTAATCAACTTCGCCATAGTAAAGGGCCTCGAAATCGTCGACTTTCAGACCGCCGACACTGATGACTGTCATAACCGACGAGGAGATCCTCACTTACATTGACGAAGACGCTCCAAATATTCGACGAATCTCGGAGACTTGTCCGAGAATAGAAAGTGAGGAGCCCACCGGCGAATTGCAGCTTCCCACGGTGACCTACGCTTTCAAGACCCGTGGCAGTAGGGAGGCCCAATTCGGACTCATTGGCTCTTGTTGGCGACACGGGCACCACACGTATCGAGACCTTGGAGATCATTCGCGAGGACGAACTTTCCGACGTGTGGACGATGAAGGTCTGCATGCACGTACCCTATGGGTAGGGGTGAGGTGAGGAAATTGGGCAGGGCGCGTTACGCGCGCGCGCATGACACGCTAAGTCCCGGCGTATCTCTCACCCAGCGCACGGTATACTCCCGTGATTGAGACGATATTCGGACTGCTGGCTTTCGGGTATAGGGGCCTCCGTTGGCAGCTTCCTGAACGTAGTGGCGGACCGGCTTCCGGCAGGGAAGTCGGTCCTCTCGCCTCGGTCGCACTGCCAAGGATGTGGGCGTCGCATCCCTTTCCGCGACCTCGTGCCCGTCCTGAGCTACGTGTGGCTCCGCGGCAGGTGCCGGGACTGTGCCGAGAGGATACCGGCACGGGTCGTTGCGATTGAGATCATCACGGGGGCGCTCTTCGCGGCGCTCTACCTAAAATTCGGCTGGGGAACGCAATTCATCGTCGCAGGGGCCGGAGGCGGGTGCTCGTGGCCATTGCGGTCGTCGATCTGGAACACCGGCTCATCCCGAACCGCCTCGTCGTTCCCGCGTGTGTTGTGTTGGCTGTACTCGCCCCGCTGTGGCCGGAGTTGGGCATCGACCGCGCCCTCGTCTTCGAGCAGGCCCACCTTGCTTCGCTCGCCAACTCCCTGGCGCAGGTGCGGGGGGCGTTCTTGGTGTTCCTCGTGGTGAAGGCCGTCTATCCGTCGGGCATGGGAGCGGGCGACGTGAAAGATGGCAGGCATGTTGGGCTCTGGTGGGCTATCCCGGCATCGTCGTGGCCCTCTGGACGGCCGTCGTTGTTGGTGGCGCGGTCGCGGTCGTTCTCCTCGTGGCGGGAGGGCGCAGTCGCAAGGACGCCATGCCCTTCGGCCCCTTCCTGTCTGCGGGGGGTGTCCTTCGCCCTCCTTGCGGGACGGAGAGTATCGACTTCTACTTCGCTATCGTCGACCGACTCATCGGTTGATTCCATCGGCGACGGCGCCACCCTAGCCGACAAAACAGCCTCGGCTAGGGAATTTAGCTGATAGGCAACGAGCCAGTGGCGTTGCAGCTCGAGCCTCGCTGTTGCAAGAGCGGCCTCTATAAACACCCCCTCATGCCCTGTAGAATGGGTCCACTTTCATGAAGGAGGCCACGCATGGACAAGTTCAAGATACTCGCCTTTCTATGCTCATCCGGCCGACAGCGCAACGGATGGATCCGGCACACTGGCGCTGCACGCGGAGAGAGGCGACAAGGTCACCAGTGTGGTTGTCACCTACGGAGAGCGACACCCATATGCAGTGGCTGGCCGACGAGAGAGGGAAACCCGAGAGCGAGCGCGATCCCGACCTAGCCACGATGACCCTCGATGACTACAGGAAATTCAAAGCGCGGGAAACGGAGAGGATCGCGGAGGCGGTCGGGGTAGACGAGCTGGTCCAGCTTGGCTGGACGGACCACGAGATCTACTTCGATCTCGACAAGGTGCACGAGCTGGCGGACATTATCAGGAGGGTCGAGCCGGACATCATCATAACTCGGTATCCGAAAGACGAAGGGGCGACATTCAACGACCATCCCATGACCGGCCGCATCGTGATGAAGGCCCTGGAGGTGGTGACCAACCGCGTGCGCGAGTTCGACGGCGTAGACGCCTATCACGGCGTCAAGCAGGTGTTCTTTTCGGTCTCAGCCGGCAGAGAACTCAACTCGAACGACCAATTGGCGCAAGGGCTTGTACCCGACGTATGGGTGGACACGACCCCGGTAATACATAAGAAGATCGCGGCGATCGACCAACTGGTCAGCCAGGGCTACCAAGGAGATACGGCACGCTGGATAGTCGAGGCGCGCGACGGGCGTTGGGGAATGATCGCCGGCTGCGCCTACGCGGAGCCCTTCCTAAGACCGTCGGCGATCACCTACGACAGTCTGCCCATGCCGCCCAGGGTGGCGAGTAAAACATATCGGCCCACGGTGCTCCACGACGCTCGCGGTACGGCCCGTGACCTTCCGTCGGCAACTCCGCCGGAGGCGTACCGTCTGAAGCCATAGCAAGCGAATCGCTAGCTGTAGCGTTCACGGTAGAGTGCAAGGCCCTTCTCGAACGCCTCGCGCTTTTCCCGGCTCGTTGCCGACAGCAACGGGTCCGACGCGTCGAGGCCCAGGTGCTCCGCCAACCCGTCGACAACTACGTACAGCAGGGCCGCACGGGCGTAGAAACGCATACGCTCGTCGAATCCGTCGTCGGTGGGTTCAACACCGTGGCTGCGCCAGTCGAAGCCCGGGTCGCGCCGGGCGGGGTGACGAAGGACGATGATGTAGTCCGCGACCGGGTCGCCCAGCGCGAGGTCGTCCCAGTCGAAATACGTACAAGACTCCGTCGTCCGTTAGCAGCGAGTTGCCCTCGTAGAGGTCGCCGTGCGTCGGCCATCGGGCTTCTACCTCGAAAGCCGTCGAGTTCTTCACTGTCCGGCTTAGCTCGCGTGTCTCATGCTCCATCCACGTCAGGAGAGGATCGTCTACCATCGAATTCGGCGACTGCGGCTCGAATTATGCCGATGTCCTTGTCCAACATTCGAATGTGCAAGTCCTCAAAGTACTGGCCGACCGTAGTTGTGCCCTCTGAGAAGCCGAGCTTTATGGCAAGCTCTTCGTCTGCATGGAGACGGCGAGCAGAGCGCAGCAGCCGATCTGTACCTGCTCAACCGGCTGGATGCACCCCATTTATATACTCGAATATGAGGCCCGTCACGTCGGCCTGTGGGAGGTCAATAGTGTATAACACGCGAGGAGCACTATGGCGAGATTCCAGTACGTCGTGAACGCTGAGCCATCGGTCTCTGACAGTCTTTTGCTCGGTATTCCATAACTTAAAGTGAACCGCATGGTCCCGGTCTTGAGCCGTGAACGAGCGAGTCACCTCGACCGCACTGTAGGAGAAGGGTTCAAGCCGAAGAGTTTTGGGGTCCAAGCCGTAGCGTTCCGACCTGGTAGCGAGGTGAGCGGTCAACACGGACGTCAGGTCGTCATGTGGCATTCGATTAAGAGGTGCGGACACTCTTCTGGATTCGCAGAAGGCTGCGCTTGGTGTAGCCGCTCGGGGCCCTACGCCGCTACGACCTTGCTCACCACTAAGATAGCCGCGTAGGGGGCGGTATCGGTGCCGGGGTAGGGGTTCAGTTCACGCATCGAGAACACGTACTGCCCGATGCCTCTTGCGGTACCCCCGATCGTGCGCTGATCGAGGACGAACTCGTGCATACCAAGGGGCCGTTCCCCTGCGATCACGTCGAGGCGTACCTTCGCAAGGCCTGAGACGACGCAGTTGGTGGCCGCGGGACACCGGGAGTCCTCTGATACGTCGACGAAGGTGATCTTGAGGCCCTCTGCGCCGACGACGGCCTCTTGGCCGATGTGCAGCTCGAATGGGGAGTCGAGCAATGCGGAGACGCTGTCCTGGCTGCCGTCTTCAGCCGTCGTGGTGCGGACGATTGGACTTTGCTCAATCACGTCCCAGATACTGTCGATTCGCGCTCCGGTGACGAGACCTTCCTCGATGGAGATGATCGCCTCGTGCGGCGTGACGGCGGCGGCGAGGGGGAGGTCGGTCCTGTCGCCGTAGCCTGGATGGAGCTTTCAAAGCCGAACGTGTATGCGACGCACGTCTCGCAGTCCCCGTCCGCACGGTCTATCAACTCCACGCTTTGGGGGAGTCCGTCGAAGCGGAAGGTCGGACTGTTGCGCAGGAAGCTCTCGGCCAACCGGCGGTCGACCTCGTCTCCGTCGTCCGATGAGCAGGCGGCGAGCGCAAGCAGGGACACGATGGCAAGGGCCATTCCTGCTATCGTGCGCTTGACGCTCTTGCTCGGTTCTCTATAATGCAACATAGTCTGCGAAGCGGCTCACGGGTTAAGTCCAGTTTTTCACACCTGCGCCGCCTCGCGCAACGTCCGCGACATCGAAAGGAGCTTTCAGCAATGGGTGATAAGAGCGTAGGATTCGTCGGTCTGGGGATCATGGGCAAGCCGATGGTAAGAAACCTCATGACCGCGGGGTACTCGCTGACCGTCTACGACGTGGTGGGGAGCGCCATGGAGGAAATGGTGACCGAGGGAGCGACCGGAGCGGCGTCCGCGCGTGAGGCGGCTGAATCCTCGGCGGTCACGATCACGATGGTGCCCGACTCCCCGCAGTCCGAGGCGGCCATACTCGGGCCCGACGGCGTCCTCGAAGGGACAGCCAAGGGCAACGGTATCATCGACATGAGCTCCATCGCGCCGAGCACGTCTCAGAAGATAGGCGCGGCCTGCGACGCGACGGGGGTAGCTTTCCTCGATGCCCCTGTGAGCGGCGGCGAGCCGAAGGCCATCGACGGCACGCTCGCCATCATGGTCGGCGGCAGCCAGGAAGTGTTCGATAGGTACGCGGCCTGCTGGACGTGTTGGGCGGCAGCGTGGTGCTCTGCGGCGGCTACGGCGCGGGCAACACGACCAAGCTGGCAAACCAGATCATCGTCGCCATCAATGTCGAGGCCGTCAGCGAGGCGCTCGTCTGGCGAGGAAGGCCGGACTCGACCCGAACGTCGTCTACGAGGCGATCAAGGGCGGACTCGCCGGCAGCACGCGTGCTCGACGCCAAGGGCACCATGATGATCGCCGGGGACTTCAACCCCGGGTTTCCGCATCAAGCTCCACCAGAAGGACCTCAACAACGCGCTCATCACGGGCAAGGAGCTCGGTGTGCCGCTTCCTGTGACGGCCCTGGTGCAGCAGATGCTCGGCTCCCTCATGAACCAGGGCAAGGGCGACATGGACCACGCCGCCATCGCCAACTTCATCGAGGACATGGCGGGGATCACCATCGCGGAGGGTTAGCGCTCGCCCGGCCTCCACATGCCGAAGCCCTCGGCCTGAAAGTCGGAGTCGTATACAAGCGCCGTTGTGACGCTGTGTTGCTTCATGACGACGAAGCTCATGCAGTCGACGAGGCTGAGATTGCGCCGACTTCGCTCGGTTAAGAGGTCGACCGCTTCCATGTGGTCTTCCTGGGTGATCCAGTGAACGCACGTCTTCGTATCGGCAAGAGAAAGAGAGCGCGGCATCTGTCAGCCCCAACCTCTCGCTGACTGACGCCGCGCTTTCGAGTACAGAACATAGTTGTGGGTAAGTAGTGGCAGACCTTCGCTCGTGATTTCTTCCATTGCGCGAATGGCACGAGCATGATGGATGTCTTCTATCAGGGCCAGGGCGAGCCGCACGCGCGAAGAGTCAAGAAGATCAAGAGCGAAGGCTCTTCGCAAGAGCTCGTCGTGACGCTCAGAACAAGGGATCGAGGTCCTGGGCTTCGACTGCCTGAACGATTGAACGGTGAGTCCCCTAGGCGAGGGTTTGAAGGTCAGTCTTCCGGCGCGAGTTGTTGCTCAAGAGCCTTACGGACGAAGGCCGCGAACGAAATGCCTTCGGCGGATGCCCTTTGTCTCGCTAGAGCGTACGTCGCCTCGTCCAGTCGTATTTGGGCGCGCCTCATCATGGCTCCGCTCCCCCGTTAGTGGTGACCGCATTATATCACCACGCCTCGGCGCGGCGATTCTCCCGCCTTCGGTTCCGGCTGTCGGCTTCAATAGATGTCGGGGGATTCCCAAGGAGTCTATTTTGGCAGCGTGACGACAACGTCACGTTCGACTTGGGGGTTCCGGCCCCGTACGACATCGACGGAAGCGACCAGAGTCCACGTGAACGTCCATGAACTGCTGGCATCACGTTGCAGAGCTATGGCTTCTTTAAGATGGGGTGGTGGGGCGGTTCCCACAAGCAGGGTTGCTCTCCGGCTCGTCGTGGCTCCGCCGGAGAGGCGGGCCTCCTCCATGAACCGGACGGTACTGTGCACGAATCGCTCCTTGCGTTCTTGCGCTACGTGGCTCGTTTTGCCAGAGGGAGTCATGCCCGCGTAGGTGTCGGGTATGAAAGAAACACCCCTCTGGTTGTAGCGCTCTTCGCAGACCAAATCGACACGGCCGCCCCTTACCTGAATGTTGGTGCTGGGCCGCATCTCTACTACAACTTCGATCGTCTCGCCTAGCTTGTAGGCCCGCGACTCAAACTCCAAGCTCAACTGTAGCGGACGCACTTGGTATAGCATTGGATGCCTCCTGAGGTATCAATGACTGGTAGGTCAATCGCTACATACAACGAGCCAATTACTCGGATGCTGCCTTGAGGTCCTGAGTGATTCGACGGGCCCACGGCGTTTCCGAGAAGCCGCCGAGCATTCCGCTCGGGAGCATGAAGCGGCTCGTCACTTGGCCCCACGACTCCTTCTTCGGCGGCTGAACGATCTGCCAGCCGCGCTCGCCGATAGCGTCCGTGGCTGAGTTTACCGAGTCGACCTCGAACTCCACGGAGAAGCCGAGGGGGATACGGTCGACGGCAGCCTTGTCACCATAGGTGGCCTCAGCCGCGGCGCTTCGAGACCAGACGCTGAAGTGGAGCACACCGGGTATCTCGACCGTCGCGTACCCGCCGCCCGGCTGATGGTCAACGGACAGGCCCAGCACGTCGCGATAGAATTCCACGGCAGCGTCGACATCGTCCACCACCTCGGCAATAGCCGACATGTGTCTGATCACGTTTTCCTCCCCGTGCGCAGTACTGAAGAGAGTTTACTCGCTATCCGACGCCCATGAGCCGCGCCGTGTTTCCTCCGCAGATCAGGTCGATATCTGCCTGGTCGAGAAAATCGAGGTTGAGGCGGAGCGAGTCGAGGCTCTGACGGTACGTTTGGAAGCGCATCACCATGGGGATGTCAGTCCCCCACATCAGCCGGTCTGCTCCCAGTCGCTGGACCACCTTCTCCAGCGCCGACCTGATCTGAGGCATCGGGTAGTCGTACATGCCCCCGAAGAAGATGGCGAACAGGAGTTGGACGTGGAAGTTGGGATTGTCTATCGGGAGCGCGTCGTAGACGGCGTCCGGGACGTCGATGCCGTTCTCGTCCGCGAATGAGCGCCAGCTCAGGCCGTGCGTCAACACAACCTGCACGTCGGGGTACCGCTCCATGAACCGGCTGACGGTCTCGAACTCGCTCAGGTCCATGCCGCCGCCGCTGCCGGTGCGCGCCAAGGACGTGTAGCCCGGCGTCACGAAGAGAGGCACGCCCAGCGTGGCGAAGTGGTCCCACAGGTGAGTGAGCGCCTCCGCGTCCCACGCGGTCGACTGGTCGTAGAGGGCCATGTGGTCGGGCAATAGCTGGAGGCCGTGCAGTCCCAAGTCGTTGATGGCGTGGTCGAGCTCGGCAATCGCCCAGTCGGGGTCGGAGGCGATCTTCCACTCAGGCACATGGGCGAGGGCCTGTATCCGGTCGGGATACGCCTGCACGGCGTCGGCGACCAGGTCGTTGCCGATGCCGAGATACGGCGTGCGGTGCAGGAGGGCCCGGTCGACCTCGGCATAGTCCATCTCGGCGACCAGGTCGTCCGCAGTGAACTCCATGTCCACCACCGAGGGCGGCATGTACTGCTTGAAATAGTCCTCGCCGCCGACCGTCCACTCGAAGCGGCCGAACTGCGTAGCGCGGAAGTCGGCGTCCTTACGCGCGTCGAATCCCTCGCGGCATGGACTCGTCCAACAGGCCGCTGTTGTCCGCCTCAGCCCGGTCTCGCGTCCTCCACACCGGCATGAAGTGGGTCGCGATGGCAAGCTGCAGATGCTGCTGAAACTCGCGCCGGTCGTCGAATCCGCCGTCGCCGCGCATGTCGGGAATATGTAGGCGTGCCCGTCGTAGATCATGGTGCTTGGAGAGGCCTCCCGGAGAATGGTCGGGGACAGTATATACCACAAGGGGCGCTCGACTTGGCAACGGCAATTGCCGCCCTGCCGAGGCCCGCCCGCCGGCGATTTGTACCTTTGCCATCCGCTCCCGTGTACACTACGGCTACCACGACAGGACGGCGCAAATGAAGCTGTACACCAGGAGCGGCGACGACGGGACGACGGGGCTGCTGTTCGGAGGGCGGGCGTCGAAGGCTGGGCCGCGGACGGAGGCATATGGGAGCCATCGACACGGCCATATCGGCCATGGGGATGGCGCGGGCGCTGTCGTCCGACGAGCGGGTCAAGGACATCCTGCTGCGGTGCCAGCACGACATGTTCACCGCGGCGACCGAGTGGCCGTCGACCCCGACCACTACGACCTGCTGATTGAGAACTTCTCGCCGGTCACGGAGGGGATGGTCGAGCGGTTGGAGCGGTGGATCGACGCCCTCGACGACGAGGTCGACCTGCCGCCGCGCTTCATCGTTCCCGGTGCCGTCAGCGGCGTCGCGCCATCGACCTGGCGCGCACGCTCACGCGGGACGCCGAGCGCCGGATCGTCGTCCCTCTCGGAGACGGAGCCGCCCCGAACGACAACGTCCTGCGGTACGTCAACCGGCTCTCCGACCTGCTGTTCATTCTCGCTCGCTACGAGGACAGGGACCTGCCATTCGAGATCACGACGGGCGAGATGCGCCGAGATGCGGAATAACGGCTCTCAGGTACGGTTCTGACGGGACGGCTGCTCAGCAGGCGGCGTATATGAAAAATTCAGCCATGGCGTCTCGATGCGACGCCGCCGAGGTAGCGGGAGTCCATGAGGGCGGCGTGGGCGCCGGTCGTCAGCAGGCTGCGCTCGACGGGTACTGGGCACGCCCTGTCAAGAACATCTCTTGAATGGCGAGACCCTGCGCGCCGAAGGACTCGCGAATGGTCGTGTCGCCGGTGTGGAAGCCGGTGCTGACGGTCTCGCCGTTCACGCGGGCGGCGTAAGCGAAGCCGCGCACGTGCCGGTCGAGCATCAGGGTCGTGGCTCGCAGCCGTCGGCGTACTCCAGTTGGAACAGGGCGGGGCTGACGCAGTTGTCCTCCATCCGCCCCTTTTCGACTTCCTCGATGCGCGACTCCGCCTCGGCGGCGAGGTCTCTTGGCCACAGGCCCTGCTCCGCGGCCTCCCATACGGAGGGGCCCTCAATGCATCGGACCGCGGCGATTCCCGTCCTCGCCGCCGCGCCGGCGCTCGACCATGCACTGGAGGGCCTCCAACCCGTGGAAGCCGTAGGAGTCGAGTCCGTTCGGTAGGGTTGAAGTGGCCCAATACCAGCGCGTCGTCGATCTCTGCGCCGATCTTGTGCTCGAACCACGGCGTGCGCCCGGTGACCGGCAGGGACGATCCGGCCATGAAGGGGATGCCGAGCTCGGCGGCGCGGTCGTACATCCAGCGAGCGTCGTCCCACGAGTACGCGAGGTGCTTGTCGCTGAACACGGGTATGGTTTTACCTGACAAGCCGATCATCCCGCAGACCTGCTCGAAGAAGTGGCGGCGCGGGTACATCTGCCGTCCTCGCTCGTTGGGGGAGTAGTCCCCGTGCTCCGCGATGATGATGACGCCGTCGACGGCGAGCTCGCCGATCTCCCATCCCGGCGCGGTCGGCCAGTGTCCCGCATGGGCTGTCGCTAGGTCAGCGCCGATCGAATGCTGGGGAACAGCTCGATCCCGTGCTCGCGGGCAAGCTCGACGCCAACATCCAGTGGGTGAAGCTGGTCCATGTACATCGAGACGATGTCGACCTGCGACTCAGATGACGCCCGACGGTGTGGGGAACCCGTTGACGAACCGGGATATCAGCAGGTCGGCATGCGAGCCTGGGAAGAAGGTCGTGACGATCGCGGCGATCTTCTTGCGTGCCATCGGGCGGGGTCAATCTCCTCGTCGGGGTGCGGCGTATGATATGGCCGTAGCTTGGGCGGGGGCAAGGGATGGCTCGTTCGGGAGCATTGACCGCGGAGGGCGCGGGTTGGTGTGCAGGGGGGTGCGGGTTGGAGATCGGGCAGGGGCATGGTACCATCGAATGGCGCGTGACAATGCACGACATGGGCGGAGGCATGGCCGTTCTTAGCGAACAGATCGACTTGGGGCAGACGGCGTTTGCGGACGTGGATCTTCTGGACGGAGAGCGGGCCGAGACGACGCTGAGCCTTTCCGACGATCCGAAGCGGAGGCGCGGGTCAGCGACCGACATGCTGGTGCTGACCGACCGCCGGCTAATCCATCTTGCCGATGACGGACGCGCCCGCGAAGCGGTGTTCATTTGGCTTGCGGACATCATCGCCGTACGGGTCGGCACGGAGCGGACCGGCGGGGTCGGCGGGCTACGTTTGGGGCGTCCTCTCCATCATCGCGGCGATACTGGTCTGGCGCATATGGGACCAACCGGTGCTGGACGTGGTCGCGGCGGGCGTGCTGCTCCTCATGGGCGCGTACCTCGTTTGGGACCGCATCAACACTCCCCCGCTCTTTCAAAATGCCGTCAGCGCCGGTGGGTCACAGATGTCGATGAACGTCCACCGGTCGGTATCTCCTGAGCTGGTCTATGCGTTCACTAACCGATGTTCGAGACAAAGGCGCGAGGTCCCCGTTCGGTCGAGGACGACGATGACCCTGATTCTCGCGCGACGTTCTTCGCGCCCGGGTAGAGCCGCCCCTTCAGAGCAGGGTCAATAGAGACTCCCGCTCTGTAGTCGTCTGAACCACAGTGCCATGAGGGCGAAGACGCCCAGAATGATGGCCGCCCCTATAAAGTCCTCGGCCAATGCCGCGTTCTTCGCATCGCCAAGCTAGGGGCCTGATTGCGATGGAGGCGGACACGCCTACCAGGATCAGGAACGGGGCAGTCAGACCGAGCGGGACGTACGTGATGCGGCCCACCGACCGTCCTGAAGAATGTGGCGCTGGAAATCGCCAGCAGCACTGCGAACAGGTAGGGGAAACCACCTATCGTGCCCAACTGGCTGAAGGCGACGGGGACCAGGCGTTGGCGATGAAGAGTCCGAGGACAAGGTAGAGGAACCTGAGAGGCCGTGCCGGTTCACGCCACGCAACGCGCCACGCCGCTCGTGCCTTCTTCCGACGCCAAGCCACCAGCTTGCCGAACAGCTTCAGAGGGAATAGGGAGACCTTCGCAAGGAGCTGGAGCATTTGCCGCTATTATAGAGGCGTCTGGATTCCGGCCTCTGCCGGAATGACGATCTACGAAGCTCGCCCTTCTGTAAGAGGGTGTTTCCTAAGTCCCTTCTCCCCTGGCGGGAGAAGGTTAGGATGAGGGGGAGTCGTGCCCTACCCCAGCCGCAGCGTCGGGACGACGATCGAGGTCCCAGCGGTATTGGGGGGCGTCGCGGAGGTGGTGCCAGGCGGCGGCCCCGATCATTGCGCCGTTGTCGGTGCAGAGTCCGGGGCGCGGGACGATGACGGGCACGGGTGAGCGGGCCACGGCCTCCTTGCGGAGGAGGCTGTTGGCGGCGACACCGCCCTCCGAGCACGATCCCGGCTACCCGGTAGGTCTTCGCGGCGGCCACGCAGCGAGTGACGATGCTGTCGACGACGGCCTCCTGGAATGCGGCGGCCACTCCCGCAAGCTCCGACTCGTCGATCTCGTCTTCGCCGGGCGGGTACCATCCCTTTTCCTGCGCGCGATGGAGCATTGCCGTCTTGAGTCCGCTGAAGCTGAAGTCGAGGGAGTTCTTGACGTTGGGACGCGGGAACCGCTTCTCGGCCCCGTGCGGGTGCTCGGACATCTTCTGGATTTCGGGGCCGCCAGGGAATCCGAGTCCGAGCACGCGAGCGGCTTTGTCGAACGCCTCCCCTGCGGCGTCGTCGCGGGTTTGGCCCACCAACTCGTAGCGGCGATGGTCGCGCATGAGCACGAGGTCGGTATGTCCGCCAGACGCGATGAGGCACAGCAGAGGGAATCCGGGATCGGTAGCCGGATCGGGGATGTCCTCCAGCCATGCCGCGTAGATGTGGCCTTCGAGGTGGTTGATGCCGACCAGCGGGGTATTCTCTGCGAGCGCGAGGCCCCTTTGCCGCGTTCACGCCGACGAGGAGGGCGCCCGCAAGTCCGGGGCCGTAGGTGACGGCGATACCGTCGAGGTCGCGCAGCTCGATGGACGCCCTGCTCCATGGCCTCCCTCACCACGGCGTTGAACGTGAGCATGTGCTGGCGCGAGGCGATCTCCGGAACGATGCCGCCGTACTCGGCGTGCATCTCGACCTGGGACGCGACGACGTTGGAGTGGATGGTCCGCCCGTCCTCGATGACGGCGGCGGCCGTCTCGTCGCAGGATGTCTCGATGCCGAGGATCTTCATGCTAGCTATGTGGGCAGGTGGCCTTCGCGGGTGAGAACGTCGGCCAGTCGCGCGATGCCCTCGCGGATCTCGTCGGGCTTGTTGTAGCCGTAGCACAGGCGGGCATAGTTCCTCGCCGAAACACCGTCGGGGCAGAAGATCGGGCCCGCCTGGTAGCCGACACCGGCCTCCCACGCGGCGTCCTGTGCGTCGACGAGGTCTGCGCCTTCGGGCAGTTCAAGCCACACGAAGAGGCCGCCGTCGGGCCCTGCTCCACGCGGCCTCGGAGCCGAAGTTCTCGCCGAGGGCGGAGAGCATGGCGTCGCGCTTCACGCGCTGGACGCCGTTGATCTTGCGAATGTGGTCGTCGAGGTGCCGCTCGGCGAACCGGTGGATGGCCCACGAGGCGAACTGGTTCACGCCACCGCCGCTCTTGATGGGCCTGAGCCGCTGCATCATCTCGTCGGAGGCCGCGACGTAGCCGATCCTCATGCCGGGGCCGGTGATCTTGGAGAACGAGCCGACGTAGCTGACGATGCCGTCCTCGTCGAGGGACGCGATGGACGGCACGTTCTCGCCTTCAATACGAAGGTCGACGTAGCAGTCGTCCTCGACTATGGCAACGCCCTGCCTGCGGGCGACATCGAGCATGGCCTGGCGTCGCTCCAGGGACATCGTCCATCCCTGCGGGTTCTGGAACATTGGGATGGTGTATATGAGCTTGGGGCGCTTGCCTTCGTTTCTCGCTTGGACGATGGCGGTCTCGAGGGCGTCGGGGAGCATTCCGTCGTCGTCGCATTCGATGCCGCGAACGTCCGCGCGGAAGCGCTGGAGCTGCCGAAGGGTCCCGCTATACACGAAGTGCTCGGTGAAGACCACATCGCCCGGGTCGATCAGGGCCTCGATGAGGATGTGGTTCGGCTGGCTGGAGCCGTCGGCGAGAAGGATGTCGTCGGCCTCCACCTCGATGCCGCGGTCGCGCGCCAGCTTGCTGGCGACGTACTCGCGAAGGGGCGGGTAGCCGTGGTCGTGGGGATAGATGGCGAGGTCGCGACCCTCCTCTGCGACGGCGTCCCTGACGCACTCGGCGAGCGCCTCGGTCGGGACCGTATCTGGATCGGGATAGGCGATTGCGAAGTCGTACTTCGCGCGGTTGATGACGCGCGCTGCGCGGGTTCCGGGACGCGGGATGAGAACAGGGTCTCAAGGTTGAATTCACCGACATCGGACATCGGCACACTCCTATAGCCGCTATGGTTTCGACCTCAAAGCGTACCCTAATTCGGGCGGATGTGCACGGACGGTGGAGTGGGCCAGGCAATCGCATTTCGCTCAGAGTCAGCCTTGGGAGAGTCTCCCAACCCACCCCTGTGAACTCCGGCCTTCGCCGGAGTGACGATTTACAGTGTGTCTGCCAACTCTAAATGTGATTGCCCTCTCCCCGGCTGCCGGGACTCTTGACACCCTATCCTATAATCTGTTTATGATATGCAGTCTCAGACCGGGAGACAGCCGAAATGAGGTTTGCCGGGTACATCATTCTCGCGCTGGCCATCGTCCATCTTCTGTTCGCCGCTTTCGGCGGGCTCACCGAAGGGCTGGCCGAAGGCCACAGCATCTGGGAGCGAGCGCTATTGTTGCTCGTGCATCCGGCGGGGGCCTGCTGTGTGCAAGCGTTGCCGGGGACGTGAGCGAGTTCCTGGCCATCTACAAGGACGCCACCGGGCTTTAAAAGTGGCACGTCCCCTAGTATTCGCGGTCATTCCGGTGCTAGGCTTGGCCTACGGGATAGTCCTTCGGGCGGGTAGGACGAAGGCAGGGGCATAACCCTCATGGGCGGGTGTTCGACTACGTTCGTCAAGGGCCCAAGTGACGCAGAGTCACGGCGAGAAGGACGCAAGGCGGGATTGCCCCCGCAAGGTTCGGGTTAGCAGGTGGAGCAATGCTAGAAGCCGGGCAACAAAAGCAGAAGAGTGAGGAACTGCGAGAGCGTCTCTCCAAGCTCAGCGATGCCAGTCTTCGCATCACCGCCAGCCTCGACCTGAACACTACCCTACAGGCGGTCGTGGATGGCGCCTGCACGCTGACCGACGCCCGATACGGCGCGCTTCTGGTCTTTGACGACAGTGGTCAAGTACAGGAATTCGTCACATGCGGCATCACTGCCGAACAGACACGCCGAGTGGGGAGTTGGCCCAAGGCGATCGGGCTCCTCGGACACCTGCGGACGATCACAGACCGCTAAGACTCAGTGACATTGCCGATCACCCAACCTCGGTGGGGTTTCCTGAAAATCACCCTCAGATGAAGACCTTCCTGGGAATGCCGATTCGCCATAAGGGCGAGCTCTTAGGCAGCATCTATCTCACCGAAAAGGTGGATGGCCAGGAGTTCACACTCGATGACGAAAATACCATCGACATGTTCGCCTCTCAGGCCGCGATAGCGATCTCAAACGCCCTCAAATACAGGGCCGAACAGCGCGCAAAGTCCGACCTACAAGCCCTGCTCAACTCCTCGCCCATGGGCGTTTTCGTACTGGACGCCAAGACGGGAGACGTCTGTCACTCAATGAGGAGACGAGACGAATGGTCGGCGGCGTTAGTGGGCAAGGCGACTCCCTTGAGCACCTACTCAGTGTGATGACCTTCCGGCGTGCGGATGGACGCGAAAGCTGCTCTGCCGACGTCGCTCTTGCACAGGATTGAGACAGCTGGCGAGACGTTGCCGTGACGAGGAATCGTCATCTACCTGCCCAATGGTCAGTCGGTGACTACTCTCGTAAATGCCAGACCGATCTACTCCGACGAGGGGGACATCGTGTCCGTTGTCGTTACCGTGCAGGACATGACGCCGCTGCAAGAGGTGGAACGGCTGCGAGCTGAGTTTCTCGGCATGGTGAACGACGAACTGCTGACGCCCCTCACCACCATCAAAGGCTCCACGGCTACGGTGCTTGGCTCGCCATGCCCTCTCGACCCTGCCGAGACGCAACAGTTCTTCCGGATCATCAATGAGCAGACCGATCAAATTCGCGACCTCATCAACAACCTTCTTGATGCAACGCGGATTGAAGCAGGGACCTTCTCGATCAACTCTGAACCTACGGATCTGGCAGGCATAGTCGTGGAGGCTAGGAACGCATTCCTGAGCGGTGAAGCAAAGAACGATGTGATCACCGATCTCCCGCCGGACCTACCTCGAGTGATGGCGGATAGACAGCGAATCATGAAGGCCATGAACACTCTCTTCTCCAACGCGTCCAAGAACTCGCCCGAGGAGTCCACTATCAGGGTGACTGCCTCTCAGGTCGACGCACATGTCGCGGTGACCGTCACGGACGAGGGTCGAGGCGTATCCACCGAACGCCTACCTCACTTGTTCAGGAAGTTCTCCTGGGCCGATGGTGACGAAGGAAGGTGCCAGATTGAGAGAGCAGGTCTGGACCTTGCGGTCTGTAAAGGGATAGTGGAGGCGCACGGAGGCGAAATATCGGCCGAGAGCGCCGGACCGGAACTTGGCACGCGGGTCACCTTCACCATTCCGGTCGCGAGCGAGGACGAGAAAGTCGCAGCCGCCATCTCTCCTCAGCTTCCTGCCCGCGTGGAGCAGACGGACAGCGAGCAAGAGCGCATTCTCGCCGTCGACGAAGACCCGCAGATACTAAGGTACGTCCGGGACACGCTCTCGGGAGGGGGCTATTTCCCGATAACGACCGGCAATCTGGACGAAGTCATCCGCCAAATCTACGATTATAAGCCCAGCCTCGTCCTACTTGACCTAGTGCTGGCAGGGAGCAACGAATTCGAAATCGTGAAGAGTATCTCCCAGATCACCGATGCCCCGATCATCTTCCTATCGGGATATGGTAGGGATCAGATAATTTCTGAGGCCTTCGATCTGGGAGCCGCCGACTACATCGTCAAGCCCTTACGCAACCGAACTGATGGCGAGAATCAGTGCGGCCCTATACAGGAAAGCTGTGTACGGTCGCAGTCAGGCTCTCGATCCCTATTTGCAAGGCGACCTGAAGATAAACTACGCTGAACGTGGTGTGACGGTGGCGGGACGCCCGGTGTATCTTGACAGCGACCGAGTACAAGTTGCTGTTCGAGTTGTCCATCAACTCTGGACGAGTGTTGACTCACGATCAGCTTCTGGAACGAGTCTGGGTTGGGAAGGCATCTGGTAATTCACAGGTCTTGCGCGCCTTCGTCAAGGTTTTGCGCCGCAAGCTGGGCGACGACGTGAGCAACCCGAGATTCATATTTACTGAGCATCGTGTGGGCTACCGCATGGCAAAACCGAATGATCACACGGCACACGGCAAGCAGATTGATCGATTGATCGCCCGTATTGTCAGTACGGGCGAGTACTGAGATGGTATAGGACATTTCCGGACGAAAGGCCGGCATTCCTACATGTCGGCCATATCGGCTCACGGAAGGCCATTCGAAGAGTTGCTGATGACTTCCCCATACACCCTTTTCGGTGGCATGGGCTAACAGTTTCGCGGTTGTTTCCATATATCACTATCGACGGTTAGACCTACAAGGACAGGATGGGCAGTACTCCCTACCGCTTCTGCTCCAGTTATGAGCGACTGCCCTGCCTACCCTTAACTTCCCGCGCTCCGTCTCCAGTTTTCAAGAGTCTGCCATCAACCTCTGACTGGCGCCATCAGATAATCCAACAGTCATTCGGCGTCTAGCTTCTGACAACTCCTCCTAGCCGCAACTCCCTCTTAGACATGCCAGTTTGGGATAAATTCATTGACGGCGAACCGATAAGCCATCCATAATGGATACTAAATCATCCTATTGGATGATATTAGCTCCACCCGTCAGCTACATCCCAGGCAGTACTGTGCCTGCGATTGACCGAGTCTCATGAGTTCACAGAATCCATCCATCTCAGCCGGCCGTAAGGACAGCGTTGGCGTCCGTCAGTACGCCGAACTGCTCATACGGTATGTAGCGAACCAGAAGCGGCTGTTCGCCATAGTTGCGGTCCTGCTCTTGGGAAGTATTGGTCTGCAGTTGGCAAATCCTCAGATATTAGGAAGATATTTACTCAGCTACTTTATTGTATCCCCCCAGCCAAGCAACACAAACCTCTCAGGAACCGTCCGTTTTCACGCAGCACGCGTTACCGCCAAAAGTCAACGTACCGGCCCCGGTCTATATAGCATTGCAGTTCTTCAGCAAGTTGTCAACGTTCTTGCCACATACACAAGCGCGGGAGGGTTGCCTGGACTGCTACAAACGCCCTGCGTTCCGATCTGGCCCGTCATGCCCTTCATCTCGACATGTCGTTTCACAACGAGCACACGCCCGGCGAAATGATCGAGCGCATCGACGGAGACGCAAAGCAGCTGGGCCAATTCTTTTCAACGTTCGTCATACATGTCATGGGGAGCCTGCTGCTGCTCTGTGGCATAGTCGCACTGCTGTTTCGGGAAGATTGGCGGCCGGTTTGGCACTTGCCATCTTCAGCGGCGGCGTCTTGTGACCCTGTCGAGCCTGAGAAACATCGCTGTCGGTCGATATCAGAGGACTCAGGAGGCGGCTGCAAACGCCCTCGGATTTATCGAGGAAAGAATGCGCCGGTCGGGAGGACGTTCGCACAAACGCCGCCCAGGCATACGCTGTGCGGGGCTTTCACTGGCACATTCGAATTGGTTCCGAAGGTACCTGGCTACCATGGTGATGTTCAACCTATTCAAATATCACCTATTCTCATCACTCATCACGGCCCCCTCGCTCTCGCGGGCGCAAACCTTTTCCTGAATGGTCTTGCGACTATAGGAGCCGTGTACCTGATCTTGCACTACACGCATATGGTTTCCGAACCGGTACTACCGGTTCACCTGGCAGCTTAACGATCTTCAACGCGCCGGAGGGAGCATCGTCAGAATTGCGGACATGTTGAACACGCGGTCTAAGATCGTCAATGGGTCGGGTGTAAAATTTCCTGATGGTGCGCTCGGTGTCCGGTTCGATGGCGTCAACTTCGCCTACGTACCTGAGGAACCCGTTTTACGAGACGTTTCGTTCACCCTGGCGCCCGGACGGGTGTTGGGACTCATCGGACGAACCGGTAGCGGGAAGACGACGATCTCCCGACTGCTCTTCCGACTGTACGAGCACAGTAGCGGACGGATTACTCTCGGGGGCGAGGACACTCGCGGAGCGAGGCTGCGCGAGTTGCGGGACATGATCGCTTTGGTGACGCAGGACGTCCGGCTCTTCCACGGTACGATCCGCGACAATCTGACGTTCTACGACACAACCGTGCCGGACGAGCGTTTGTTGGAGGTGGTCAGCGATCTCGGTCTCGGATCGTGGCTGCGGGAACTCCCGAATGGTCTCGATACGGAATTGCAGACCGACGGTGGAGACTGTCCGCCGGCGAGGCACAGCTTCTCGCATTCGCTTGCGCTTTCCTGAAGGACCCCAGCGTAGTGATACTGGACGAGGCATCGTCCCGGCTGGACCGCAGTACCGAGCAACTTATCGAGCGCACCGTCGACAAGCTCGTTCAGGGTCGCACCGCAATTATCATCGCGCATCACCTGCCCACTCTTGAACGCTGCGATGAGATATTGCTGCTTGACGATGGACGAGTCGTCGAGCACGGCGACCGAATTTCTCTCGCCAACGACCCAGCATCTCATTTCCACAGTCTATTGCGGACGGGGCTGGAGGAGGTACTCGCATGAGCACGTGGCAGTACACCCTACTGGGTTCCTCTTCATACAGTGGCAGCTGATCAACATACGATTCTGAACATTTCGATCTCGGTGACATTCCCGACGCTTGTCGCGTTAACGCAGCGCTCGGTATTCGATTCTCTAACAGGTCAGGCTACGGCATGGTTCGGCGTATGGGAGCTTATCGGTATCCTGGTTGCGTTCGAGTGGCGGCGACTCTTCAGAATACTGGGTCGGTCGTCACCTACTACTACGGAGCGTTCAACGTTCGCGCGCTCTTTCAACGCAACATCTTCGCATACATCATGAGCCTGCCAGGTTACCGTCCGCTCCCCCACTCGAGCGGAGAGGCAGTGAACCGTTTTCGCGAGACGATGTGCAATTGATACACGACTACCTTGAGGACATCACGAACCTCCTGGCTAACGGTCTGCTGGCGATTGTAGGCATCGTGATTATGGCGAGGATTAGCGCTTCCCTCACGTTCACCGTATTCGTACCGCTGGCGCTGATTATTGCGGTGGCCTTACGTCTCAGGGGGTCATCTCACGCCCATGGAAGAAAGCCGAGAGAACAAAGGGCGACTGTAAACGGTCTGTTCGGGGAAGCCTTCAACCTCGTTGAAGCGATTCAGGTGGCCGGAGCCGAAAAGACCGTGTTCAGCGCGCATAACGAAATTGGGAAGAGACGAGAAATCCCGAAAGCCATTCAAGAGAGCGTCCTTCGGGATTTCCTGAGAGGCGTCTTCTTCAACATCAACGTCCTTGTAACCAGGCTCGTTCTGATTCGCGGCGCCGGTGCTATGGCGGACGACGTTTACGTAGGAGACCTGACGCTCTTTGTATTCTTTCTCGCGAATGTCGGAAATGTCGGCGCCGGCATAGGTGAGGTGCTGAACGGCTACCGCCAGATGGATGTCTCACTCAGGAGGGCGTTGGAGCTCATGCCGGGCGCTCCGCCGGAAGAGTTGGTCCGCCGAGCCGGAGCTTTCTCTCCGGAGACCTGCCGGAGGTGCCGTCGATTACCATCAGGGACGATGATCGGCTGAAAAGCATGAATGTGCGTGGACTCACGTTCGTTTACCTCGATTCGAACCGCGGCGTGCGGGATGTCGACTTGACATTGCGTCGTGGGACGTTCACGGTCATCACAGGGCGCATCGGATCCGGCAAGACAACGCTCATTCGCGCGCTCATTGGGTCGCTACGGCGACATAGTGTTTCGGTGAGATATGGTCGGAACGGACAGTGAAGTCGACGCGAACCGTCGACGAGTATTAGATTTCTTCGCTGCCTCTAAGAGTGGAGATCGCTCTCGATACTCGCAAGCGCCGTCAGACTCTCAGCGAGGAACTGCGCTCCAACATCCTAATGGGGTTGGAAGAGGACTCGGTGGACCTACGCGGAGCCGTCCGCTCAGCCGTGCTAGAACCGGACGTTGCAGCCCTTGAAAAGGGACTGGACACCGTTGTGGGGCCGCGCGGGGTGAAGCTCTCCGGGGGACAGCAGAGAAGGGCCGCCGCCGCGAGGATGTTCGTTCGAGACCCGGAGCTGCTGATTTTCGACGATCTGTCGAGCGGCCTCGACGTTGAGACCGAGCAGATTCTTTGGGAGAGACTCTCGGATCGCCCGAACAGCACCGTCCTCGCAGTCTCCAACCGGAGGGAGGCCCTCCGCCGCGCCGACCACATTGTCGTTCTGAAGGAAGGTCGTGTGGACGATGAAGGAACGCTCAACCACCTGCTCTTGGCCTCCGCCGAGATGCAGCGACTCTGGGCAGGCGATATCGAAAGCCCCGATTCAGCCTCCGAATAGTAGGCAAGTGAACAAGATTTGCGCTCGATGGAGACGAGTTGTGTCACTGAGAGCGTTGTGTGGAACTGTCGAGACTTTAGGGCTCACAGCGTCCCACGGGGTGCCCGGCTCGCAGCTTACGGTCGATGAGATTCATCTTTGTGTGGTCACACTTCATCGGTTTTGTTGGCGATACGGCAGCCTAATGCGAGAGCTAGAGAGTCGTTGAGGCCCACTAATGGACTCCTGGGATCTTGATTGCCAAAGGAGCGCACGTGAACGGTCGGAGAGTCACAAGATCGTCTATAGTAACAGCACTCGCGATGCATGCAAGCCTGATTGGATTGAGCGTCGTCGCAGTTGCCGACATACTAGTCCTTCTGGGCGAGGTGTGCGCCTCACGCGAGACCTACGGTCTGTTAGGCCCGAACGGCGCGGGCAAGACCACCACGATGCGCATGGTGAGCTGGGTTCCTGTCCCTCTCGACCGGCGGGAAATGGCATCGTGGCGCATCGAGCTTTGTCACGTGAGGGTCGAGCGCAGGCGACAATGTGCTGGAGTGTAGTGACCTCAGCAGGACGGCCTCGACACCGACCTCAATGCCAGGGATAACCTCATTACGTACGGATTCATCGCCGGGCTTTCACGCGCACAGGCGGAGCAAAGAGCGGATGCCGTGCTGATGTACTTCGACCTCACCGATAAGTCGAACGAGGAGATCGACAACCTTTCCGCGGATGAAGAGACGCCTCGCAATAGCCAGGGCATTCATGACCAAACCGCAGGTAATCGTGCTCGACGAGCCTACGACCGGCCTAGACCCTCAAGGGCGCAACAGTGTATGGCAAGAGCTGGAGACGATGAAGCAGGCGGGCGTGACCGTCTTGATGTCCACTCACTACATGGAAGAGGCTGCGGCCCTGTGCGACCGGCTCGCCATCATGCGATCACGGCAAGATCCTGGCGGGGCAGGTGTGCGCGGACGAGACTGCCGTACAAACGACACCGACACGCCGGACCGGAAGTTGCACAGGTGCGAGTGTCCAACGGTGCGCGACAAGACGTGG